CCCCCCCCCCACCCCCGTGGCATAGCGGTAGTGCCTGCGGACGTACTAACGACAGAATACGGTTACGTAGATAGAGTGGGGATGGGGGGGTAGTGACCTTTACCCTCCAGAAACTGATCACTTCTAAGTTGGGTTATAGTCCAAATGTCCGGTTTCGACAAATCTTGCTGACAAACACACACACCACGCAGGGGTGAAAATATAACCTCCGTCCACCTTAGGTGACTGACGTAATGACATCATTCACAGACTATGGAAAGAGTGCAATGTAGTTTAAGTTTTACTTTTTTATCAATAAAGTAGTAAGCTGTATGTTATGGGGGGGGTCAGGAGGGGCGGTGGTTCTCTTCAGAATTTTATTATGTTTGCTGGACCTCCATAAGAACCTGCCTCTTTCTCCTCCCCCCCCCCCTCATTACCCTCTATGAAAACATATAACTCTGCCTCTTTTAGTCAAAGCTAAAAATACCAAGTAAACCACATGACCATATCTCGACATTGTGATGTTGAAACTATCCTAAAAACTTTACCATTTTATATTAGACAAAAGACCAAGTACGGTCATTCACTTCTGAAGACTGTATTTTCACAGCTTCAGCTAAAAACAAATATTATGTTTAAACTGTTAAATTTCAGTTTATATTTTCATCTTTCAGCTTCCGTTCAATATTTATGTTGTTTTTTTTTCTTTTTGTCTCTGAGGATTATTCTAGAATCAGCTTACTCCCTCCACGATAGAGCCTTCTTCAGCAACCTAGGCACGATCTTGCTATATGCCTTGATGGTAAGCCTTAAACAAGTTAACAGGTCCTGTTTATATCCCGTGATTGTTGTTATTAATGTTATTACACACTAATAATATACTAGTCAGTCAGCACGTTTATCTCCGATACAGAAATGTGATGGTTATCAGTGGTTAATATAAACGTTTGTAATTTTAATTTGTGTTTTGTCAAAAAACAAAAACAAAAAAACGACCTCTATATAAAAACGAATGTTTTCTTTAGCAGCAGCAGTTGTGAGGAAATATTTTTTTTTAAACATCGCCTGTAAAATGTTTTAATAAATTTGAAACAACACAGCTCGAGTAACTACAATGCTAAAATCTGGGGCTTCATACCTACGGTTGACACGTCACAATAAGCCCATTGCGCCGTTTTGTGCGCAACAACAAATAAATTTATCTGAATGAATATTTACATAACTTTTATTTTTATTTCGAGCTAGTGCAAATTTGGTATAAAAATTAAAAAAAATATTTGGTGATTATGTTTAAAAGAGAAGAATATTGAAATATTTACTTCAGAAAATGAGATTTCAATATACATGAAATAGGCGGATATGACAAAATTACCATGAGATTTCAATATACATGAAATAGGCGGATATGACAAAATTACCATGAGATTTCAATATACATGAAATAGGCAGATATGACAAAGTTACCATGAGATTTCAATATACATGAAATCGGCAGATATGACAAAGTTACCATGAGATTTCAATATACATGAAATAGGCAGATATGACAAAGTTACCATGATATTTCAATATACATGAAATAGGCAGATATGACAAAGTTACCATGAGATTTCAATATACATGAAATAGGCAGATATGACAAAGTTACCATGAGATTTCAATATACATGAAATAGGCAGATATGACAAAGTTACCATGAGATTTCAATATACATGAAATAGGCAGATATGACAAAGTTAGCAAACATAATTGCGCGCCCCAGTATTTCCTGCATCCCAAACCAGTAATGTTTGCTCACTGTTCTTGCTCTCCCTTTC